CAGTTCGATTACTTCAGGCACCGTGCGTGATATTTGCTGCATTCCTGCTGGTTTTCTGAAATAATCCTTTTCATTGTTTCTAATTCTTCTCTGATTTTGTGGCTTCATTTCTGAAGTTTTTTTTTTTTCATTGTTGCCTTTCATTATTTTCTTAATGTGTTTACTGTTCGAAACAAAGTCTGCATTCCCAATAATCGCGATATTTCACCCTTATTCCAGACTTTTTTCCTCACTCCTGCTTTTCCTGCCTCCCCACTGTAACTCATAATGATCGTTTACTTAAACATTAAAATGTCTTAGTAGCTGAAGAGAGTTCGGTGAGAAGGAATTTGTCTATCAGGCTGCAGGTGGCTCAGGGGGTAAAGGCAATTGCTACCAGACTCTACGGAGTTACATAATAGCATGTGCACTTCCACACATACACTTCACATATACATAATAATAATCATTATAATAAATAAACACAATCAGGAAATACAAATGGTTTGCCTTGTAAGTATGAGGCACTGAATTTGATCTCTGGGATCACAACAACGACATCTTTCATTCCAATTGATTTTGAAACCAAGTTGTCAGACATAAGCCATTGTAGTTACAGCTTCCATAGGCCTTTGCATACAGTCTTGGGACAAATGTAAATATAAATAAGGGAACATATGAAAGGAAGAGAGCCCCCTACCTGGATGACCATGTCTCTTGTTGACAGAGACAAGAGTTTGAACTAGATGTCTCTGGGAACTTTCTTACCCTGAAAGTGTATACTGAAAATTATATTATCTCCATAAAACTAATATTATTACATAGCAAACTATAATTGGGATTTGAAAAAGAGCAATGTAACCAATATAACCTCTTTTTTTCTGGAAGGTCAACTAGGGCCACACATATTACATATTATAGACAAGTATCAATCACTGAACTATGTCCTTAATCTTTATTTTCTCTCTAGTTGTGTGAGTAGATATTTGAGAGAGAGAGAGAGAGAGAGAGAGAGAGAGACAGAGAGAGAGACAGAGAGACTGAAAGTTGCCCAGGCCTACCTCAGGCTCTTGTGTAGCCTACCTCAGGCTCTTGGGTAACTGGGAGTACATGCCTGTACTATTGGGCCTGGAATGATCTCTGATCTTGTCTTAATCATGTTTCTCATATATAAGCCAGCAAGTACAGCCATACACCATCTTAAATTTCCACATATATAAAGCATCTTTCCTTAAGAAAATGAATATAGCCCCACAATTCTATCAGCTTTATAGATCACATGTAACATGAAAAAAATGAAAACCCAGAGACTGATATTGGGGTTCAAGTTTCAAGCTGAAGATCAGATAAGATAAACAAAGCAGCTAGCCACTAGCTCTCACCTCTACCTCAGACTGAAATGGATGACCCTGTCTGCAGGAATCCTCAGAGTACAATGCTCTCCACCAAACCTCAGACTGCAATCCCAGACTATTATGCTCTCCTCAAAGTGGCTGTAGACTAATTCTCAAACATGGCTGGAGACCAAAATGTTCCTCTGCTCCTAGTTTATATACCTCGAGTGCTGGGATTAAAGGCATGTGATCCCCAGTGCTGAGATCACCTTTGTGTGAGCTATTTCTCTTTAGGATTGGATCAATTTCATATAGCTCAGGGTGGCCTTGAACAAACAGAGATCCATCTGCTATCTCTTGAGTTCTGGGATTAAAGGTGTGTGCTACCATCACCAGGCTCCATGGCTAGCTAGTATGGCTGCTGGAATTAAATGTGCATATCACCACTGCCTGGCTCTATGGCTTGTGGCTAGCTTTGCATTCTGAACCCTTGGGCAAGCTTTATTAAATTATAATATATATATATTATATAATATATATAATATAAATAACATATAAATTTATAATATATAAAATATAAATATATAATCACAATCACATCCTTTTTTACAAGGTAATGGCAAACTCCCCAAATCACTCACATAGCTGGCTGCTGCAAAAGCTATTAGGCGCCTTCATCTCTTAGTAGCCACACTTGTTTCCCATTGCCTATGTCCTTTCTCCTATGAATAAACTAACTTTGATACACTTTAACTATTATGAAATTCTTTTCTTGCAATATAGTTTAAGAATCAGGGCTGTACCTACTTAAAGTCCTCTGAGGCTCTGAAGGGAGTGCCTCAGGTCACACAGCTGGTGATGTTGAGCTGTTTCCTGCTGATAGTAAGGTCTTTGTTGTAATTTTTAAAAAGCAGCGCATGAAAGATGCTAAATGACAGAATTCAAATGGAGGAGTTTTTTTATTAGGGGAAAGAAATCATAAAAGGGGGAAGGGGAGAGGGGAGACCAGCCTCTGGGGATAGGAGCAGCAGGAGAGGGGGGGGCAGACAGAAAGAGAAAGAGAGAGAGATGGGAGGTGGGCAGGGCCCTTTTAAAAGAGAACATAGAGAATAGGCACAGGTTGTGCTCTTAGTAGCTGCAGCTGAAGGCATATCTGTCAGGGCTCCAAGGGCAGGTCAGTACAAATGCCTAAATACTAACAATCTTGAATAGGTTTGAGTGTTTCATAGGAGAGTTTCTCTTGAAGCAGATTGGTTTCTTAAGGGCAAACGTTATGCCTTTTCTGTTTCCCACAGAGTAACTACAGGTTTGATTCTGAGCATCATTTACCTAGTTAGAGTTACTAATGCTGTGATGAAACACCATGACTATAATAAACGTTACAGTTTAATAGAAAAGTATTCTGGCACTCCGGAGGCAAAGAATACCAGGGGTCACAGTAAGTGCAGCAGCTTACAGCCCTGGTCTAGGGAAAGGCTTCCCCAGTGTAACAGCTCTGCTTGGGCAGGGGAGGGTTTCCCCAGTGAAAGTTGTTACAGTTTGGCTCCCCAAAATGTAACACAACTCTGCCTCCTTAGGTCATTGCCCAGACCTCATTCAAGATTGGGAGGGAAGGCATCCAGGAGGATAGCTGCCTCTACTGGAGTTGAGGAAGACAGCAACGAACTGGACAGGCACAGGGTTTATATAGGATTTCTTAGGGGCGGAGTTTTTCCAGAAGATTTCCAGGGTGGGAATTGGTCAGATTTCAGTCCCTGAGCTCAGATTGGCTAGATCTTGTGTTCAGAGATTGGTTGGTTTTCTGCTTAGTTGTCAGGAACACATTTGGCTCTGATTTCAGGGCCAAAGTGTGTGGTTCTTCCCCCTCCCCGCACTGGCCTTTTTTAGCATTTTGGCTCTAATTTCAAGGCAGGGCGTATTTCTTTTACTGTCTCTGATTCTGGGGCCAAATTGTATTTCTTTGGCTCTGGATGCACTGCCAGAGTGTTTCTTTTGGCTCTGCTCCAGGTGTGTTTCTTTAGCTGGCCCCCTTTCCCCACAATGACCAAATCAAGTTGTGGAGGAGCAAAGGGTTTATTTGGCTTACAATTCCACATTGTCGTCCATTGCTGCAAGAAGTCAGGACAGGAACTCAAACAGGGAAGGAACCTGGAGGCATGGGGCTGATGCAGATCCCATGGAGGAGTGCTGCTTATTGTCTTGCTTTCCGTGCCTGCCTTCTTATAGAACCCAGGACCACCAAGCTGGGGGTAGCACCACCCGCGATGGGCTGTGCCCTTCCACATCTATTACTAAATAAAATAATGCTCTACAGGCTTTCCTAGAGCCTAACTGTAAGGGAAAAGGGCCAACCAAAGAAGCACTCCCTGAGCAGAGCCAAAGAAACACACTGTGGCCCTGGAATCAGAGCCAGTGAAAGAAATACACCCTGGTCCCAAAGTTAGAGCCAAAAGGCTAAAAAGGACCAGTGAAAGAAACACACTTTGGCCCTTAAACTAGAGCCAAATCTGATCCTAAACCTGTACAGAAAACCAACCAATCCCTGAGCATGAGATCTAGCCAGTCTTAGCTCAAGGATTGAAATCTGACCAATCCCTGCCCTGGAAATCTCCCTAGGGAAACTGCACCCCCTAAGAATCCCTATATAAACTGTGTCTGTGCAGCCTGTGGCTGTTTGGCCTCCCTGGCTATCCTCTGCCACCCTGGCAGAGGGCAGCCACTCTCCTGGATTCTTCCCTACCAATAAATCTCTACCAATAAATCTCTTGAATGAGGTTTAGGTGAGACCTTTAGCAGCTTATGCCAGAGCAGAGCAGGCAAAGTGAAGTTGTTACACCCAGCTCTGTGGAGGACTGGAGCCGAATTGTAACAACTTCCCAGGGGAAACCCTCTTCTGCCAGAGCAGAGCTGATACACTGGAGAAGCCTTTCCCAGAAGGAGGGCTGTAAACTGCCATGGTTGCTGTGACCTGGCTCCCGAGTGCCAGAGTCCCTGTCCACCACATACATCCGAGCCATCAAAATGCTTACACTAGTCTTATGGAGGCATTTTCTCAGTTGGGGCTCTTCCTCTTAAGTGCCCCTAGCCTGTATCAAGTTGATACTGGCCAACACAATCATCATTGAATATCCTCACATATTTGGCTCTTGTAAGTTCTTTGTATGGCCCTGGGAATAGAAAGTGTCTGCTACCCCTAACAGGCTTACAAATTTAACACAGCAAAGTATAGTATTAAGTACATGAGATGTTGTATATAGATGAAAGGACGAAATCATACACGGACTAAGGTGCTAAGCAAGAAACAGACGCTGTGATTGGAGGTCTGGGCACTCTTGGAAATTCTGGTAATTGTGATGCAGTTCCACGAGGTACAACCCTGCCCCAACCCCACAGGACCCTCTATAGGGGTCTTGGTGACGGAATTCTCAAGAGGAATGAGCGATGTCGAATGCTCACAGATGTAGCCTAACTGGGTACGTCCACAGCGTCCTGCGTGTATGCAGCATCGCACACGTTATGTTGCCCCGCGATGTGTTATGTTAACGAATATGTCACCGTTTGTGATTAAAACACTCAACAGAGAAGCCAAAAGGACGTTTCCTAACCAGGAACCAATACTCGCGGCACTTCCACCCTACCCCCCCGCCCGGCTCCCCCCCCCCCGCCACCAACGCGCGGGAGGGGAGGGGTTTCCGCTTCCGGCGGCGGATTGTTGACGCCCGCCGCTGCTGTGGTGGCTGCCGAGCGGTTGGGGAGGGGCTGCCGAGGGAGAGCGACGGCGCAGTGACAGGCAGCGCGGAGGTGGCCTCCGAGGCGACGATGGCAGAAGGGCCCGAGGAAGCCCGGAGCCGCCCTCCGGGACAGGACGGCGGCGGCGGCGACCACGAGCCGGCCCCTTCCGGGCCTGGCTCTCCCGCCGCGGGGCACCCGGCCGTCTCCGAGCCCGCGCCGGAGCCGGAGCCCGAGCCGCCGCGAGAGCTCCGGAAGCGCCGGGAGGCGGCCGCGGGGCCGCAGGAGCCGGGGGGCTGCGAGGCGTCGGACGGGCCGGGGCGTCTGAGCGCGCGCGAATACTCGCGGCAGGTGCACGAATGGCTGTGGCAGGCCTACTGCGGCTACCTCACCTGGCACAGCGGCCTGGCCGCCCTCCCCGCCTACTGCGGCCCGCAGCCCGCCGCCCCGCAGCCCGCAGCCCCGCCGCCGCCCCCGCCGCCGCCGCCGCAGCTCGCCTACTACAATCCCTTCTACTTCCTGAGCGCCGCGGGCCCCGGGCCGGGGGCGGCCACGGCCACGGCCACGGCCGGGGCCACCCCGACCGCCGTCGCCGGCCTGACGCCCCGGGCCCCGCACGTGCAGCCGTCGGGACGGGCGGCCCCCGGGACTAGGGTAGGCTCTGCGGCCCCTGCACGGACTGCGAGCGACACCGCACGGCAGGCGGGTAAGAACCGGGGTTGGGTGGGTGAGATCTCGGAGGGGCGGAGTAGCCGATGCGAGTGGATTCACACGGCCCCTTGTTGACCTCGGACTCTTGAGCCCTTCTGCCTCCACTTGCCGTGGGGTTAGGGTTACAGGATTTCACCCTGTAGTCTAGGCTAACCTTAACTCGGGATAGTCTCGAACTCGCAGTAAGAATACGGTCAGCGCCCGGGATCTTACATGCGTTGGCAGAAGGGGTCCCTTGAAAGGAGTGACCATTGGGCAACTATGCTCGCTCTTGAGATGTGTAGCTGAGCCTGCTACTACCGCTGGCAGTTTCCACACACATCAGCTATAGTTAGCCCAGGCCTTAAATTTCAAAAATGTACTGTGAGGCAATGCCAATTGTTCTTCAGTAGATTCCCTTACTAGTGGCACTGAACCTTCCAGTGTATAGAGACCTATGTTTATCAAACCGTCATCCGCTCCACGATCTCCATGCTCTGGAGAGATCCGAACTCACTGTTGGAGGAGTGACACTAGAATAATAGAAATCACCCGGACATGAGCTGTGTAAGGACAGAGAACTGAAAGGAGATTGACTTGAATACAAATAGAGTAATGAACTTCGACTGGGCCCTAGCTTACTGATATTGAATATCAGCTGATTAATTCTGTGTAGTAACTTAACTCTTAGTCTAGCAAAATTTGTAGCCATTCCCCTGTCTCCTGGTCCGGAGAGTACTGGCATTACTGGTATGGTTCACCATGTCCAGCTCATTAGATACTGTAGTAACATGTTCTCTAGATGAAATCATTGCCATTGACTGCTACAAGGCTGTTAAGTTTTAAATTAAGTTGAACCTTGACTTTACTTTGCCCCTCCATTATCTGGTTTGTGTTCTTTAGCCTGTGTGAGTGATTCGTTTTTTTTCCCCCCCTAATTTACAGGCAGAGAGTATATCATTCCATCCTTGGCACACAGATTTATGGCAGAGATGGTGGATTTTTTTATTCTCTTCTTTATAAAAGCTACCATTGTCTTGAGCATCATGCATCTCAGTGGGATAAAGTAAGTTAATGATGATCACAGAAAAGTCTGAACTTGTTGCCTAGAGATCTTTTGTAAAAATCTGCTTATGCCCGTGAGTGACTCTGGGTGATGGGTGCCCAGGGCACCATTTCTCCATGAAATCCTCTAACAAATGTATTTGTTTCCTTGGTTTGTCTTTTGTTTTCCTTTTCAAACGTTTAAAAAAAAAAAAAAAAACTTTGTGTTTATGTACTGGTGAAAGCCAGGAGGTCCACTTTGGGTGTCCTCTGCTCTATACCATTTTTTGGTGTTTGTAGGGTCTCTCACTTAACGAGGTGCTTGTCATTTCATTTACACTGGCAGCCATTAAGTCCCCAGGGTCCACCTATCTCTCCCCACCCACCCCCCATGCTACATAGGTATATGGTATATTGGTTTTTAGATGGGTTCTAGGGACTAACTCAGGTCCTGATGTTTGTACAAACACTTTACTCACTGAGCTGTCACCACAGGCCCCTTGTTAGTTTTAGAAACAATATGTTCTTTAAGATTTGTGGGAAATTCTGCTATTGAAAATAAAAGATCGAGACTTTGGTAGCAAACACCTTTTAACCCTAGCACACAGGAGGCAGAGGCAGGCAGATCTCTTGAATTCAAGGCCAGCCAGAGCTAGTTAGATTATACCTCAAAAAAATTTTAATAGGTAAAAGGAGTCTCCAGACCTGGCTTGTTTCTTTAGCCATTCTCTTTGGCTGGGAATTTATTGGTTTCCTTTTTATCACCCTATTAAGTCTTTAACATGAAAGCATAAAGAGGGGCTGTCTAGAGAGAGGGTCCAAGTTAAGTTCCCGTGTCAGACAGCTCATAACTACCTATAACTCCTGCTGCAGGGGTCCAGCCCCCTCTTCTGCACACACTAAATATATTTCTTTCCAAAGCACAAAGATCCTGTGGTAGGTGAACTCTCTGTAATCAAGTAGTGACATTTCAGTGGGGTTGCTTACAGTTGAGCAAATTCCACTCCACTGCCACGTGTGGCATTTACTTGAGAGACTCAAAGTCTTAGGATAATGGCTGTTATCATTTACTTGGCATTTTCTATGTGCAAGACTTTTGTTAACCTTGGTACCATGAGGTAGATACTAATTGGATTTATGAGATGTTAAGGCAAGAATTGGGGGAAAAATAATAAGATACGCTGTTATTAAACCTTTAGAGCCCTTGTCAGGTGTTACTCTGATTCCTTCCTATCATCCCACCCACCCCCACCCCCAAAAATAGTCTTTTTTCTTTTTTACACTTTCATTTATTTGGAGGGCAGAAGATGGTTTTCAGAACTTAACCTTTCCAGCCTTAGCACTCTGCTGTAGTTTCTTTTGACAAGTCTGAATTTCATCACATGGATTAACAGGTGCCCAGTCTTAATCTCAGTCTCCACACACAGAGAAATTGGATCTCTGTTACTTGCTCACGGGCTTTCTCTCCTGCATGCCAGTGTTCTTCAGATTGTCGTCCATCCTTGTGGTCTAGCTGGCTTCTTGTTAGTCTTTGTGTTGTAGGAAGTTTCATTTCAGAGAGGTCTGCACACGAGTCAGCATACTGGTTTATTTTCTGTGATGCTCAATTTCCTAACAAAACTGACATCCCAGTTTATTATTGTTCTTTATTCTTCTATTTTCCTTGCTAGGTTAGACTCTCAGTGAAAGCTGAGACATTTAGCATCCCCTTGCTGTCCTAGTCTGCCTTCTGTGGCAGTGATAAACACCATGATCAAAAACAATTTTGGAAGAAAGGGTTTATTTCATCTTACAGCTTGTAGTCCCATTGAGAGAAGTCAGGGCAGGAACTGAAGCAGAAGCCATAGAGGAATGCTACCTACTGGTTTGCTTACCCTGCTTTCTTATAGTACCCAGGACCAACTGCCCAGGGGTGGTACCACCCACAGTGTGCTGTGCCATTCTACATCAATCAGTAATCAAGAAAATACCTCACAGACTTGCCTACAGGCCAGTCTGATGGAGGCATTTTCTCAGTTGAGGTTCTCTCTTTCCCGGTGGCAAAACCATTCACCATAATGTCCTCAGAGCTGGCATCTTACTTGTTCTACAATGTTCTACCATGAGTTACAAACTTTTGCTTTTATTTACTTATTGGTATTTATTGGATAAACTCATGGGTATTTTGTGCAATTAGATGTTGAGAACCTAACAGCTTAGAATTTCACCTGAAACTGATGACACACTAATCAGGGGAAAACTGACCTGGTAACTAATTCCATATAACCCCAAACTCTTCTTTTTGTGCAGGGACATCTCTAAGTTTGCCATGCATTATATAATAGAAGAAATAGATGAAGACACATCAATGGAAGACTTGCAGAAAATGATGATTGTGGCACTTATATACAGGTTGTTAGTTTGTCTCTATGAGGTAAGCTGCTGACTGAAGCAATACTGCCTTAATAGTATAATTTTAGATTACCTATCAAGAAAAAGAAGTAATGCAAATTTCAAGCATTTCTTCACATTTGTATTTTTTAACAATTTTTAAAATTAACATTTTCAAGTTAAGAAAAATAAAGCTTTGTTATGCTTCTCAGGTTTAGAAATAAAATTACATTCATCAGTAGGCCTTGGTCCAAACCAAAAAAAAAAAACTTACAGATTGGTTGTAGAAATTATTTTTTCTTGCGAAACAGAAAAAAAAAAAAAAAACTTCATAAAAATATAATGAGTCAAAAAACCCCATAAAGGATAATTTTTTTATTTTGAGCATATTGAGTGTAAAATCCATTAGTGGTTAATTGGAGGGTGGGTATTGGAGGTCAAGCCCAGAACCCCACATTAGGTAACCAAGTTCATCGAGCTATGTCCAAGCCTTTCTTCTTCTGTAAGAGTCTCGGTTCATTCTGATGGCAGATCTTGCATGCGCTTGGACTTCTTGAATCTCAGCCTACCCAGTAGTTGGGAAGACAGGCTTTGTGCCACCTGACCAAGCCTTTAGTGTTTTGTTTACCAAGATGGCTAATTTTGTAACATGGCTTGGTCCCAAACATGCCAGTCATCTTTCCCCAGTATCTGGAGTTCTGGGGTGGCAGGCATGTACTACCAGCCAGTTTAATTGGTTAGTTTTCTAGTATTCTATCCAATTGGCATATACAGTGTAACTTTCTTTTTGAGACAGGGTCTCACCTTGTAGCCCTGTCAGGCTTGAATTCACTGTGTATACCAGGCTGACTTTGAACTTGAGATCCCACCTGCCTCAGCCTCCCAAGTGCAGGGACTAAAGGTGTGTGCCATCACACCCCTCCAACATGACGTTTTTATAAAGAATGAAATGATTTAATAGAAAACAATTTAAAGGTCTCTAAAATTGGTTTAGTAAATTATCTTTAAATTGTCCTTCTTTCCTTAGATAATTTGCATTTGGGGAGCAGGAGGAGCTACTCCAGGAAAGTTCCTGCTAGGGCTTCGAGTTGTGACCTGTGATACATCGGTACTGATTGCTCCAAGTCGGGTTTTAGTGATTCCTTCCTCAAATGTTAGCATCACAACGTAAGGCCTTTGCTTACCTTAATCGACTACTAATGTACTTGCAAAAAGAATGTGCTGTGTAATGTCAGTCACTGTACATGGTTATTCAGCAGTGAGATGCTGCTGCATGCAGACTTTAAGGTGTCTAAGTTTGTGAACGTGCACTGATTTTTGCATTCACTCATACATTCCTCAGAGTGAGTCCCCTCATTAAGTGACACAGGTTACAGGTTCTATACAGTGTTTTAAAATACTGTAATCATATGGGCTTACATGGAAGTTTTTATGTCTCATTTCCTTTAGCATACTTGTTCAAAATGATTTTATGAACTGTGTCTCAATGATAAGATGGTAGTGTGCTCTCAGTGCTCTGTGCCTAGCTTTATTCTTTGGCTCTGTGAACTACCCACCTCAACCCTATCTTGACTCCAGGTCTTAGATGTAGAGCCCATACTGCCTGTACTCTTCATTGCTGGCCTTGGGCATGCAGCTGCAGCGAGGGTGCAGTGGTGATGAAGTTGGGGAAGTGAGTGAGCTGTGATCGACTGAATCAAACAAAATTTGGCTATAAATGCTGCAGGAATGATTCAGGGGAAATAAAAAGACTCCAGAAGCAAGCTAGATTTTGCTGGCATACGCATATTGCATTACAGCTTTAATTTTGTTTTAATGTTGGCTACTTATTTGCTTTGGTTTTTTCGGAGTTTGTGTAGCCCTGCCTATCCTGGAACTCACTCTGCAGACCAGGCGGCTGGCCTTGAACTCAGAGGCCTGCCTGCCTCTTCCTCCGAGTTCTGGAACTACATGGGTGTACCACCACTGCACAGCTCTGGCAACTTTTAATGAGTCAATAGTGGTTAGTGTTTATGGAGCACTTCTCAGATACCAGGCATTTTAATAATTTAACACAGCATTTTGATCTCATGTTCGCAGTCGTGAAGCACTAGTAATTAGAAAAAAAATGTGGAACCAACCAGTCTGGATTTAGAGTCTGCACATCTAGGTAGAAACTAACATTGTTAAGATAATTCTCTATTTTGAACTATTGTTGAAAAGCTTTTTAAGACTTCTTTTAATTACTGGAGCCCATACAGGAGAAAATGGATAAAAGAACAGATTGTATTTCACATAAACTAGAAAAAAGTAGGACTGCAGTAAGCATACCCAGTTCAGAAGATTCTAGAAACCCATGGGAAAATGTGACTATGGAAAAGGTAAGCAAAGGGAAGATGTTCTTCTGACAAAATAGAAAGTACTGTGTGCTGTCTCCTTGTTGATGTTCTCAGATTTTTATTACCATGCACATCAAAGTTCTAGTCATCTGTATAGTTTTCTTTAGCAGAGTAGGTAATTTGACTATTTTGTTTGAAAATCTTTGAACTGTGGTCTGAAGGTTATAAACAGCAAGATACTAAGTCAGCAGTGACTAACACAACCTAACTTGCTACTTCTGCTTGCTTCCTTTAGGTCCACCATACGAGCTTTGATCAAGAACTTTTCTATTGCTTCTTTTTTTCCTGCTTTCATCACACTGCTGTTTTTTCAGCATAACCGAACAGCCTATGACATTGTGGCAGGAACCATTGTGGTAAAAAGAAATGGGGTCAGGTGATGCCCCAGAGCCCTGAACTCCACTCTTTGGAAAAATAATGACGACTAAATTATGTATCGAGGCCATCAGTATCTCTAGGTTACATTAATTGATGATTTAAAAACTAGGGCAGTCACTACAGTGTTGACACAGGATTATTCTGAAAGTGTTGACTGTACTTAAATGTCAAGGAACTTTTCTAGAAGGAAAACCTATTAAATTCGAGTGTTAAATATTTGTAGGACAACAAAGCAAATGGTTTTGATCAATATAGACAAATACATACTTTCACATTTAAGATAATCAAACTTCGCTAGAAGCATTTTTGGCTTTAAATTGTCCATTTTATTTTGGCATAACCTAGAAGTGATTGAAAACTGTCCAGTTGTGTTTTATAAACACCTACATACATAATAACTCCCACAGTTCTTACAGAAGTTGCTTTGTATGGGCATTGAGAAAGAGCATTAACTCGACAACCCACTGACTCCGTAACAGGTGTTAGAGAAAAGGGCTAGAGAGGAAGGTCTAGCAGTCTCCTTGCCTCATGCTTCCAGGATGTTCTAGAATTCAATGCAGTAGTGGTGGAATTTTACAGCTTCTTACTGCTTATGTATTTGAAGGCAAGAATTTTCATGATGATGAAAATGTATTGAATCATATCATTGATACTTTAAAAAGGTAAGTTAGTGATTGCCTTCTGTGGGGGTGGGGATGTGAATTTCCTATGTAAATTCAGCTTAGACTTCATGTACCCTAAAACCCAACTATAAATATGTGGGGGGAGACATTCAAACATTCCCATGTGTGCTCTCCAGTGTTCTGAATGTACCTGTAGATTATATTTCTGTACAAGCAAACTCCTAAGACACTATATTCTATACAGTTCCATGAATGTCAAAACATCAAGGTATTAGTCTTAGTATTTTGTGAGTAACTCTAAATACTAGCAGCCTGTGAAATATTAGCTGTTTTCCATGCTGACTTGTTCTCTCTAAAGCAAGGCAGCAGAGCATCTCCTCTGCACACTATTCTAGCTTCTTTAAGCTCATTTTGGGCCTGCTAGAGATGAAATTTGGAGGGAAATGTTAAGCTTTTGTGTATGGTCACTGTACTTTGATCTGTTGGTGCAACATTATCAAGTTTATGTCTGTGTGGTTTTGTTGTGTCCCAGTTAGCTAGCTGTACCGAAATGTACCCACATCGTGTATAGCTTACTTTCTTACTCATTCTTGTATATAATTTTCCCAAGAAACACTAAATTAATTGTATGGTACAAGAGATCAGTCTTGTTCCTGGGTTTTAAATAGCAAAAATAAGCCATGTGTTATTTACTGTATCAACTTTCAGTGGGCTTTCCTTTGACATTTAAAACTGAAAAATATCTATAGACACTTTAAGAATCTAGTAAGTATTGAGTTCATAAACCATGGTTTTTCAAACTTCACAGAAAGCCTGTTACTTGTCAAGAGCAGTGCATGGAGCACTTGTGGCCCTGGCAAGATTTCATGGCTCTCAAACTTAACACTATGAATCAGGAAAACTGGTGTGGACACTATTTTTGCCACTAATGAGGGAGTTTACGTTGAAATGTGCTTCACCCGTGTACCTGTGGAGTATTTGATTAATAGTTTCCTACTCAGATTATTGTAGTTCTCACTAGGGTATCACTAGGGTATTTTTATTTATGCAGGAAAATAAACAAGTAGTTATGCTATAGACAAGTTATTTAGATCCAACTGTGGATTCAAGTTGTTCCATACAGGCTATAGAGGCTTTGTCTCTATAATAAAACCTCAATCTGGAGAAAGGGGAACCTGCCACGTATTCTCATTGTAAAATGGAGGCTCCTTCACAGAAAATGAGTATATTCAATTATATATAAATACAGATTTCCTGTGTCTCATTGTGAAGCTATATCCTAAAAGGGCAAACTGAAGTCAGAAACTGAAACCACCTTAGTCTGAGCAACTGCGAAGAGGGTTAGGCAGTGAGATAGGCTTGGTACTCAGCCACCCCACAACACTGGTGTGTTCTATGATGAGTACACACACAGAACACTGGTGTGGCTATCTTGGAGTAGGATGTTCTACCTTCTAGGTAGGTAATAGTGCGATGACAAGCCTTACTTTACCTAGCTTCTTTCTGTGACCATAACACTTGCCACTTGACAGTATTCTAAAGCAGTGCCCAACTCCTTCTCCAGCGCTGACTTAATTCTCCCTACATGGCACTTACCTGCTAATCTCCAAGAAGGCATCCTAGCTGATGGCCACTTTGTCCATGCCTCAAAAATGAATCTTCAAAGGATCTTAAACATGGATTTGAGTGTTTCACTTACTCACCTGTTTCTGGCAAATAAAGTTTCTCATTGTTTCTTTGAGGACAATGCCTAAATTAACAGTATTCCTAAACTGTGACAAGTACTTTCAGCTTCTTACAATCCTCCATTTACATAACCAAAGACCAGTGTTGTCGTGCCTGGGTGAAGTTTGTTATGTGCAGATTTCCTTGTAGGGGGCTTGCCCCGCAAACAGTATCTAATGACCCACCTGTACATAAAACTCAGCATTCTATTTTTAATACTTGTATGTCACCAGTTTGTATTTTTTTTTGTCTCAATAAATGTGTCAACGTGTTTGTGTTTGCCTATTTCTTGTACAAATTTTACTAAGAAAACAGCAATAGCAGTGTATTAAGTAGAGCTGTGTTCAGTGATCGAACACTTGCCATGAATATGTAAGACCCCCACACCATCTAAACACCAAAGAAAAATGAAGTACAAGTCACCTACACACAAGCTTGGCTTCAGGTTAAACTCAGCCTTGATGGGAAAAGCTTTTATAAATCAGTCCTTTGGTTGTGGGCATGTTAACTCAGAACCCAGGAGGCTTTTAATGCCAGAGCCTGGGCTGCAGTGTAAGACCCTATTAAAGGGTGCATGTGCAAACTTAATGTGATGCAGCCTGGTCAAAGTGTTACTCCAGACAATTTACTATTCCTAACAAGCTATTGGGACTACAATGGATTTTGGAGTAATAAAAACAAAGCATGGTGAGGGGAACACACAGAAAAGAGGGCTATGACTAAATTGGTCATATAGTTTCTACCTATAAGATCTTCACCACCCTCATTTTTTCAGTGTCACTAGACCACAGCTTTCATTAAAGATATCACACCCTTTACAAAAATTTCTCTACGTCACTTCTTGGCCTTTGGAATATATCCAGTATAGTATCTGTTCTTATCCTCAATGATGTCCAATGAATTTCAAGCTTTACACAAACCCCCAAGGACATGCTAACAATGAAAACAAGCTGTTCCCAGGTTAAATGTTTTGTTTAAAAAAAAAAAAAATAATTTACTTCAAGTGATAAAATGCTAATTATATTAAAAACCGTTTCATCATTTGTAAAATGAACTTCAATTGTCTGAATTATACTTTTTCCCCTTAATGCCTTAAATTAAAATCACTATAAATAACCTAGTACTTAAATACTTAAAAGTGACCTCCCCAGACCTCAGAGTACTGAGTGTTATCCAAAGCCAGTCAGTCTGTCAACCTCTGGGGATATGCTCTAGAACATACATTTACACATCCCACTAATAAGCACTCTCAATCCCAGCCAATACAATGAGTTTACCACTGAGCTGGAGGAGTGACAGGCCCAGAGATGGAGCTGCCACCACAACTAGAAGGCTACATGCAGCCCAAGAATCAAGTCTCAATATTGAACAGTCTTACAGATGCTGAAAAGTCAAAAGACCTCCAATTTCCATCTAAACCAGCCTTAGTATGACTTTAGTGACCTGCCTTAAGGGGGTAGGGAGGATGTGGCAGTGGGAGATAATAAAAGCAAAATTATTTCCTACACATTTTTAAGAGACAAGGAGTATGCCCTATTAAACCACAATTATTTGGACCTAGATAATGGCTAAGAACTGACCTACAAGATCACTGTGCGGTCAGACAGGTTCCCAATTACCTCTTCCAATAAACTCCAAACAGGCTACTAAGTGTCAGGTAAATATTAAAGAGAATATTAGAAAAACAAAAAGCTCTAACCTCAAAAATCAGTATGTGATGGCCTAAGCTATCTTAATAAGAAAAACATGTTTGTGAGGACAAAGCATTAGAAATTATCAATATAAACTCAAATAAGCTGAAGTGTGGCAAATTAAGCATAAACTAACAATAAACACCCATCCTAATTACATTAAAGACACAAGATGAAGTGCTGGCCCACTTTCCTGAACCTATAAGTGAGCAAAAAGTCTAGTCATACAAGGCCCATTATAGTTTTATAAACTTTTGAATGCCTGAGACATGTATCTCCAAGAATGTGAGCAATAAACATTATCTAGGTAACTAGCAGGGAAACTAGAAGTACAAACAAAAAGGGTTGTACATTTATTTTCAACGTTTAAAGGTGCTACACATATCTATTAAAGCAGAAAGCAGGGGGCTGCTCTACTAACTCTTGAGCCTTGTTTGCTTATACTCTTTGGGATTTCTAATCAACCACCCTTCCCACTAATACTATGTGCCTCCACTATGAGAACCGTTAAAGAAACGTGCTTCATAAAGTTTTATTGATGGCATTTATCCCATGGTTTAACATGTTAATTATACTGTAATAAACATGGCTTTAATATTAAACTTTTCCTTATTATCCAAAGTCACCACAGTCCATTTCAGTAAATATAAAAATATATGCTTAATACTTTGTACAATACTGGTTTTTGGTCCAAACAAAACTGGATCAGAAAAGCCAATAAATTTAACTTTAAGAATCCCCAATTTTTTTTTTTTTTTAAAGATTTCCAAATGGATTTAGGCAACTTTGAATAATGGGATTTACATAATAAAATCTGAGACAAGACTAAACAAACAACAAAAATATGTCTAACACAAAATTAAAATTTCAAGTTCACAGATTTATGTTATGCCAAAAGTACAGAAACAATATTGTATTTACAGAAGTTTCATAATAAAATAATGAAAAAGGCAAGACAGTCGATAGAATGAAAATATAGAAATAGCATATACTTATTAAATGGAGAATGAACTAGATCTAACAAGTCCTTAGCATGGACCATTCTTTAATCAGGCTTTCTCTATCAGAATTTTTCTGTGCACAATACATCCAACTCACTTCACACATACACCACCACAAACTCCGCATAGAAATCATTCATTTCAAAGTCCTCTAATCTATACAGGATTCTAATCTATACAGAATTCCCAAGATATAATTACAATTTCAATGCGTTCCATTAACGCTTTATCAACGCACATAGCGGTGCAGACAGGATCTATACAAAGCCATTCACCGTGCAGGCTCTATTCCTGGGTACAGCCAGACTATGCCAATCAGTGAATAATGTGCTGGATCATAAAATGTTTCTGCTGAAGAATCAGTCATCGGTCTAGCTATTTTCAAAAGAGAATGGGATATGGGAATGGGATTTCCGTAAAGAAAAAAAGAAGACAATTCCAAAATTAAAGAAGTCCTTAGACAGATCTGACTTCAGATAAGCCCAGCATGTAGTACAATCCAGTATCTGAAAGCAGGCACCAGCTGTTGATAAAACTGTTGGGTATAACACCTTTGTGACCTTTATTTCCTGCGTCTAACAGCAGCCTTTATCTTGCGACCAGAAACTGAAGTTCCGGAAGAAGAGAACATATTTTTTCCATTTGACCTGTGAAAAACAACATTATAATGTGAGAGGATGCTCAGGACAAACAGGAGTCATAACCACTTAACATGACCAGCAACAAAATGGGAGGAGAGTGAGGAAAATGCTGTTGTTAAAAGCAAATGTCTTCTGTTCTTTCTGGCCTATAACCTGCTGCTCTTGTCTCAGATTGTAATACAATCCCTAAAATTACAATACCATAAACTGATACTGAGTAATACTTACTATTACCCAAACTACATTACTGCCTGATTTACTTTTAAAAACACACCTTCACCAATGTAAAAATCTGGAAATAAAATCATCTCTTACCCCATTGTAAATGACGCTGGAGATGGGCTGAATTGAAAGCCCCCTGAACCTGAGGGCTGGGCTGAAGCTGCTGGCATGCTGGGATTTGCACCAAATGTGAACACTCCTGATGGATTATTGTTTGTGAAGTTAAAATTTGTAGTGCTGCTGCCAAATTGGAAAACAGAACCTATACAGATTAAGAAAAAAAATACCTCATTAGTGACACAACATTAAGATCAGTGTTCACCAAGACATATTAAACATGTGAAAAGATCTTAGCAAGCAAGGTGTGGTGATGTACACCTCTAGTCCCAGCACTCAAGATGCATATGGGAGAGAATCTCTGTGAGTTCAAGGCCAGCCAGTCTGGGTCTACAGGGCCAGTTTCAGGCCAGCCAGGGGTATCACAAAACAGGAGTAATTTTAGAGAACATGTGAGCTAAGTACAAACACCAGAATACAAGATGACCCTTACAAACCCGATGGGGATATCTTCTGTATATATGTTTCTCTTTCTTATTAGTTGATGAATAAAACACTGACTGGCCAGGGAAGAGATAGTAACAACATGCCAGGCACTACAGGGTAAGCCTCATGGCAATACATAAATTGATAGAAATGGGTTAGGAATTAAGACAGAGCTAGCCCAGGCCTTCGGCCAACAGTTTCATAATTAATATAGTGTCTGCGTGCTCTCTTGGGGCCCAAGGGCTGCGGGAAGCTCTGCAACACAAACCAATAACCAAACAAAACTAAAGAACAAAAAAAAAAGAATTCACAAAAATGGAAAATACATAGAAACCAAATATGAGACACCAAATGTGAGACTTCTCGCCCAGCAGTGGTAGCATGTGAACTGGTATATACCCTAGCAGGACATTTGTAATGAATGCCTTATAAAATATGAGGTATACCTTCCCATTCAGAGTGCATCAAGAGAAACAGATCTACTCCCCCAAAAGGTTAATATCTTCTACTCTATAAAATGCAAAACAGCATTTCCTAACAGCCAAAACTGACTAACATACAATAGCAAATAAACAGGCTGCCAATCACTCTGCAGCAGAGACAAAACCATATGCAACAGCCCAACACAGAAAATTTAAGAGGCAAAAAAGCAAGAATGCATAAAGCAAGAGCCCACTTGTATAGATAGATAAGTATCTGGGGGATCAGTAAACTAAATTAGAGTACAATGGACAGAGAACAGTGGTCACCATCAGAGTGAAGAAAGAGGACTATGATCAAAAGGGCCCTGATCACATGTGGCCTCCAGCTGTCTGTACACACATGCAAGCTTCCACACTATAACTCTTAAATGAGATCGTAATTCTATTAGGAAGATCAAATGGTACAGTTGAGAGAATACAGCATTAAAATACAGTGCAATCAGTTGCACTGAAAAAGCCACAAGAACTTCTGATGAAATATGCAGAGGGAATATCAGTATTATCCAAGTGTTGTGAGACAAGTCAGCAAAAGTAAGGTCTAACTTTCCAAAGGAAATCAAAACCCTGCTCCACGGCAGCCTACAGGGAAACAGTGGAAGTCCTTAGAAGTCAGAGGAAGAAATACTTTAAATATCCTTTAAAATCGTCAAATACAGTGGCTAAAACTGCAATGTAAAACTCTGAATATAAAAA